TCAACGCAAATTACACTCGCCTAATGAATTTCCACCCAAGGCTGCCGCTGCCGCTCGTTTCCGTTCATCAACAGACAAAACTCCCCAAAAAAGCTGAGATAGGATAGCACTGAGACGACCGACCCCACACAAGTGCAAACACGGCCATCGATCGTACCAGTACAGTACAGTACTACTACGATCTAATGTGTACACTCTACAGCACACATTAATTAATGCAGGAATCGATTTTAATAATTAATATAAAAGGAAAAGTGAAGAGGGTAAAAGAGAGAGAGAGTGAGCAAAGATGACCGTAGAGAAAGTGAATAAAAAAGGAAGGCGAAAGAAGGAAGGAAATAAAGTGTAGAAAGTAAAGTAAAGTCTCTGTCCGATAACGGTCTCTTTCTCTCCTTTCTGTCGGCCTGCTTTCTTTGCTGCTGCAGAGTATGTGTCCGTTTTTCTAAAAAGCTTGGATCGGCCACACACACAAATTCAGATAGAGCACCGACAGAGAGTCTCTTGCGTGTAGAAAGTCGATAACAAAATTCTCCTCCTTTCCCTCTCTTCAATTACCATCATCCAGTAAAACGAGGGCATAAAGCAGAGAGGGAGGGAGCAAAAGGGAAATATAAGAAGGGAAAACAGTTAAGCTCCAAAGTTGCAAGTAAAAAAAGTGTAGAAAGACGAGTCAAGTCTGAGTCGAAAAAAAGTGATAAGATTGGCTTCGGGTAAAGCTGCTGCTGTGAAGGAAAGACGAAGGGAAATTCAGCCTTGGAGAAGATGCTTTGGCAGAGAGAAATCGAAAGTGAAAAGTTGCCTCTGTCGTCGTCGGTGTCGTCTCCGATTGCAATCGGTAATCCCGTACCCTCGCTCTCATTCTCATTCGGTCTGTCTACTTGAGCGTTCCACTGCGCAGAGCGGCAAAGATGCGACTGCCCTTCAGCAGACTGGTCAGGTCGGTCATAAACTTCACTATCGCTTCAGTGTCCGCCTTTGGCTTCTCGCAGATCATGATCAGCGTAAAGAGGGGATCGGGGCGGATGAGGAAGTAGGTGGCATTCGGTATGGAGTTGTTGTTGGAGGAGGAGGTGTTTGAAGTGCCTGACGTGGCAATGTTGTGCACTTTAATCTGCGCCGGACCGATGCTCCCAGGGCCAACCATCATCGGCGAACCGGGTGAGCCGCCATTGTTCGTGTGATGGTGCTGGTGTTGGTGGTGATCTCCGTGAACTGCATTGGGCCGGTTGTGCATCACCAGGACGGTGTCGCTGCTGTTCAGCTCCTTCCGCCGCTCGCCCATGGTCATGATGAGGGAGGGCATGTGGTTCTGCGGGAACTCCACCGGGTAGGCGTACACGATGGGGTAGGTTTTGATGCCTGAGTGGGGAAAAAGTGATTAACGATCTGGCGAGGCCATAAAACTCCCTCCCCTTACCCGTAGGCTCTTCCTTCTTTGTGAAAGGCGATCGGTATCCGGAGACGTTGAACTCCCTATTCACCCCCTGGTCCTTGATGTCAAAGAGCAGTATGACGTAGGTGGCGTCGTACTTGCGCACAAACTGCACAATCTTCGAGTGAAAGTCAAACGGCGGGCACTGCTTGGCGCACAGCTGCCTCATCTGCGCCTCCATCTGCGCGTAGTTGGCGCTGGAGCTGTGGCTGTGGTGGTGGTGACCGTGGTGGTGGCCGTGGTGATGGTGGTCCTTCGAAGAGCCCACACTGGCCAGGGAGGCGGTGAAGGAGGACACCGAGCCGGTGGCAGAGTTGGAGCCAGATCCGCCGCCACCGCCGGTGGAGGCAATGGAGGCGGCGGCCGCTATCGACGCCGGCGTCAGGTGCACCATGAGCAGCGAGTGAAAGTAGAAGCTATACTTGGAGAGCAGGTACAGCTTGAAGCGGTGCAGCCACTGAATGAGAAGTGGCATGTTTGCCGCAGATGCAGCCGCCGCCGTTGCTCCCGACGAACTGGACGATTTTCCTGAAGTGAAAAAACCACCACCACTCTTGGTGGGCATGTTGGACCATCCACTTCCGGGGAAGATAAAGTGGCTCATCGCGGAGAGGGTGCTGCCACCCGGGGAGGCGGCAGAAGGAAGGGCGGCGCTGCTGCTTGAGCCAGTGGCTGTGCCGGAAACAGCCGTCGCTGCTGCTGCCGCCGCACTACTGGGAACACTGAGCGTAGAGCTGCCCGAGCTGCTCAGACTGGCGTTGGTGAAGTTCCGGCGGAGATTGCCAGTGCCACCGCTGACCGAGCCCGAAGAGGAGATCAAGGGCGAGACGACGGGGCCGGTTACACCAGGCACAGCAGGAGCACTGACGTTACCACTGCCGCCGTTGAGCGCCTTCAGCACCATATCACGAGCATTGGCCATCAGGTTGAGCTTGTTGGTGGCCTCCTGGAGGAGGAAGAGCGCCTCGAGGAAGTGCCACCCCTGGATGCTGATGTGCGCCGTCAGCAGACTGAGCAGCACGTCCGCCTCGAACATGAACATCGCCTTCAGCCGACTGAGCACCGGGTGGTGAAAGTGGCGGTCGGCGCTGTCGTGCGTCTCCTTCAGCGACCGGTACAGCTCCTCCATCAGCACGAACTTGCGGCTCATCGAGCCAGCGGCGCCCCCGCCGCAAACGGAGCTGAGGCGGTCGTAGAGGTCGATCATCTCGATGCGCACCTTCACGTAGTGCACTAGCTGGCCGCTGAGGTGGGCGGCGAAGCGGTCCATCGAGTCGAGGCTGCAGGTGATCTCAGTCTGCAGCGGCCCCGTTGAGCCTTCGTTGAGCAATGGAATTGGCGAAGGGGCGTCATCGTTGCTGCTGCAGATGGAATCGTTGGCTGGCCTGCAAAAAGAAGATGTGTTAGAGTTGTATGTTGTTTCAAACTCCTTTCGATCTCTTACGTGGACGGACTCATTGACTGGTTGCTCCGGTTGCTGGACCGGTTTGAGCTGTTGAACCTGAAGAGGCGCGAGAGTAGACTCTGACTCTTTGGCGGTGTGGGCGTTGCCATCAGCTGATGTTGCTGCTGAAGTTCAGCCTCTGAAAAGGCGTTCTGGACCGGACTAACTGACTTGCGGCCCTCTTCGTTCATGAAGAGCTCCTCCACCTCGAAGACGTCCTGTGCCTGGTCGCTGGCCATCTGAGCGGCGAGTTGACTTCCTCCTCCTCCCCCGCTGCTGCTCGCCGGAGAGCTACTGAGAAGGTGATTCTGGTGGTGAGGCGTATTTGGCTGCGAGCTACTGCTGTTTCGTTGCTGGCCAATCGAGCTGCCGCGCTCTTCAAGGCGCAACAACTCCAGGCGAAGGTTTTCATAGCTCACTTTGACCCTAAAGAAGTGTGTGGTGGTTAGTGGTACCTTATCAACTTGATCATCATCGACTTACGAGTCCTTTCGCTGGAAGACCTTCGAGCTGAAGAACTGCAATGTAAGGTAGTTTTTATCCGCCAGCGTCAGCTGTCCTAAACAGCCCATCAGCGAGGAAAGGACTGAAGAACAGGAGCCGTGCCCGTGGCCGTGGTGGCTCGCCCTGAAGGCGTCCCGCTCCCGCTCGATGTACGTCTTAGCCGGCTCCCAGAGGAAGTTGGTGTGGAAGATGAAGAACTGCTCCAACATCTCCTCCACCTGCTCCACACTGCTGATCACTGGAATGATCAGGTTGGCGACGTTCAGTCCGTTGCCCCGCCGACCGCTCGCTCGATTGCGAATGCTGCTCATTTTTGCTGTTGCTGCTGCTCCAAGAGCCCTTTCACTTAATCGCTAAAAAACTTAATTTTTTGAGCTGAAATATCGTCAGCATCGATGAATAATGTCGGTGGGAGGAAATGAGAACGAAAGACGAAATCGGAGACTTTGACGTCTGTGCTGCGCTGTGGGAAAGATAAACAACAACTGTCCTGAAGACGTCCTCTATGAACGGTCCACAACTTCACGTGTTTAATTTTTTTTTCACGCGTGTTTTTCTTGCAGCCGCCGAGTTTTGCCTTCTGTTTTCCAAATTCTGGTTCTGATTCTGTGCAGCAACAAAGAACAGTTCTCTAGCTTCATGAAATGACACTAGCGGAAATGCAGAACGGACTAGCGTAAGTTACTGCTTGAGATGTAAACTTTTTCTTTATAACAACATCTTTTCCTTCCAGGCGCAAATCGGGCAGCTTCTCAAAACCGCCTTGGAATGGCAACAAAAAGGGCGACAACAACAGCCATTCAACAATCACCGGACAACAGAGTGGCCCTGCTCCGGGAGGAAGGAGAGGAGTGCTGCTGATGAAGAAGGCCATGAAGTGGTACGCCCAGAGGGTGGTGAACGTGAAGGGGAAGCGAGAAGGTGCCAAGGAAAGCCTCTCTCGCGACCAGATTACCGTCCTGAGAAGTGAAGCACTCGGCCTACTCAAGACTGATTACATCATTTACGAGGTAAGAGACTTTCTAACACCTTATCGCTTAGTAAAACTTTATCAACATTCATTTTAGGAGCAAAAGAACTCGAAGCAAAGCGACGACCACGAATGGATTCGCACCGTCCTATCAAGTGGCACCGTCAGCGACAAACTGGCCGCCCATACCGTCCTCCTGCAGGAGTCGCCGGTGCACAACCTCCGCTCCGTGGAGAGCCTGCTGCGCTTCGTCAACACCAAGGGCAAGCGGGAGTGCGTCATGGCGATTGACAACCTGCGCGACCTCTTCATCGGCGACCTGCTCATTCCCAAGGAGAAGCTGCACACCTTCGAGGAGCTGGTCGGCGCGGTCGAGCCCAAGTGGCTCCTCACTCCAGGCGGTAAACCTGGCGAGCGAGAGCGCTTTTTGGTGATTTCGCACGTGGAGGACCAGATTCGCTCGCTGTACAAGAAGTTCATCGACGCGCTGATCACCGTCAGCCACGACAGCCTCGAGGCGCTGAAGATGAAGTCGCTCAAGACGATGTTCGATCTCTTTGTCAACAACCCCGAGCAGGAGAAGTACCTGCTCTCGTGCATGATCAACAAGCTCGGTAAGGAGTTAACTTTGAGTTATTTTACAGTGACTTACTTTTTCGTTCACCCAACACCTACTCAGGCGACCCCACAGCCAAAATTGCTTCTCAAACAGCGCATCTCCTCTCGCAGATCATCTCCCAGCACCACCCACAGATGAAGTTGATCGTGGTCAAAGAGGTGGAGCGGCTCATCTTCCGGCCTCACATCAGCCCCCGAACCGAGTACTACTGCCTCTGCTTCCTCTCCGAAATGGTCTTCACGGCGGCAGTGGACACCGAGCTGGCCAACGCCATGATCAACATCTACTTCACCGTCTTCAACAAGTGCATCAAAGAGGGGGAGATCAACAACCGGACGATGTCGACGCTGCTGACCGGCGTCTCGCGCGCCTTTCCCTACTCCAAGCTGGAGCTGGACTACCTGCAGAAGTACCTGACCACCTTCTACAAGATCCTCCACTACGTGAACCTGAACACGGGCATTCAGACGCTGTCGCTCATCTTCAACCTGGTCAACTTCAATGAGAGCGGCTCGCTGACGGACCACTTCTACAGTACACTGTACCGCTTCATCGCCAATCCCGAGGTGGACCACTGTGCGAAGAGCAACCTCCTCCTCAACCTCGTCTACCGCTCCATCAAGAAGGACTCCGTCAACAAGCGGGTGCGCGCCTTTGTGAAGCGTCTCTTTCAGGTAATTTGAGGTCGATGTTGATGAGGATGATGAATGGGAAATTTGAGTGCTTCCAGGAAGTGATTCAAAGGAAGCTTTTGATTACAACTTCTTCCTTTCCTTTCCTTTCTTTTCAGGTGGCCATTCTCTCCTCGTCCGCCTTTGTCATCAGCATTCTGGTGCTCGTCTCGGAGACGCTCAAGACAAAGACGGGCTTCAAGTTGGAGGCTAATGTGCTCGCTGGTGCTGGTGGAAACCATACCGGTGAGGAGCACCGGCCTGCACCTGAAGCAGACAATGGAAACAAAGGGGACGAAGACGACGACGACGACTTGGAGGTCTACTACGACGTCGATGAGGACGGGAAGCCGAGGAAGCCACAGAAGACATCTGCTGCCTCCAGTGGTTCGTGGGTTTACCTGAAGCAGCAGACCGCAGAGAACACGCAAAAGCAACAACAACAACAACCACAGCAAAACGACACCACCGCCGTGGACGGCGGTCAAAAGCCGTCAACATCAAAGTCGGTAGAGCACTACGACATTGACGCCCGCAATCCGCAGTACTGCAACGCCGACCGCGAGGAGCTGTGGGAGCTGGCGCTGATCAGCGCCCACTTTCACCCCACCGCTCGCCTCTTTGCCGAGCAGATTCGCAGCGGCGTGCCGGTGGAGTACGACGGCAATCCGCTGGACGACTTCACTGTGAAGCGCTTCCTCGACCGCTTCGTCTTTCGCAATCCAAAGACCAGCGTGAAGAACACCAAGGCCGGGGAGACGTCGGTGAAGACGCGCGTCTTTGGCCGGAGAGAGCCGGGCTCTAAGATTTTAGGTGGCGTTGGAGAAAAAGAACTTCTAGAGCAGCCTGCAGCGGCAGTGCCCGCCGACCAGCAGTTCATCTACCGTTTCCTCCAGCAGAAGAAGGCGCTGAAGTTGAAGGCCCGTCGTGAGGGCGAGGCGGGCGACGGCGACGACAGCGACATTGAAAGTGTCACCAGCTTGGAGTTTAATGACCTGCTCGACAACTACGAGAGCTACACGCAGGCGGATGAGGGTGGAGCAGAGGTGGAGGAGATTGACTTTGCCAAAAATTATCAGCAAAATTCGGGCGGCAAAGAGGGGAAGAAGGGAAAGAAGACGAAAAAAGGAGAGGATGAGGATGAGATCGACGACGAAGACGCCGACTTTGATGAGGAGTTTGATGAGGACGACTTTGGCGGGGATGAGGACTTTATGGACGATGATGAGGATGATCTGATGGAGCTCAGCGATGATGATCCGGCTGAAGACGGTGATTTTGGCGAAGATGATGATGATGACGATGACGACGACTTTGCCGACCTCAGCGACCTAAACCGGGGCAGAAAAGGCGCAAACAAGGCGCGCAATGCGGCGCCCTTTGCCGGCAAGAAGGGCTTCAGCAAGATCACCAATGACCTCTTTGCTGACGCAGAGGAGTTCTCGCACATTCTCGAGCAGAACGAGGAGTCCGACTCGGACTTTGATGAGCTGGAGGAGAGTGGCGGCGGCGGTGGTGGCGCTGAAGGGGGTAAAAAATCCTCTAAGAAGGGCAAAAATAAGAAGGGTGACGGCGGAAAGAAGCGCAAAGGAGGTCGGCCTAGNGATGGTGATCAGATGGAGTTCAGCGATAATGATGCGGCTGAAGACAGTGATTTTGGCAAAGATGATGAAGACGATGATGACGACTTTGCCGACCTAAACCGTGGCAGAAAGGGCGCTAACAAGGCGCGCAATGCGGCGCCCTTTGCCGGCAAGAAGGGCTTCAGCAAGATCACCAATGACCTCTTTGCCGACGCAGAGGAGTTCTCGCACATTCTCGAGCAGAACGAGGAGTCCGACTCGGATTTTGATGAGCTGGAGGAGAGTGGTGGCGGCGGTGGTGGCGCTGAAGGGGGTAAAAAATTCTCTAAGAAGGGTAAAAATAAGAAGGGTGACGGCGGAAAGAAGCGCAAAGGAGGTCGGCCTAGTCTGGGGCGAAAGGCGGCAATGCGCCGGAAGAAGCCCAGACTGTCGCCGGATGATTTGTAAGCAACATTGACTCTGAACAAACACTTTTTTCACTTTGAACTTGTGCTTTTATTTTTTTCCAATCTTTTTTTGTTGTACATAAAGACCACTTTATAGACTTTCGAGACAAGAGTATTTTTTATTGGGAGTTTCAGAGAATGAATGAATGAACATTACAAAGATGAGGAATGAGTGTGGGCAATCAGTGAGTGAAAATGCGAGTGAGAGAATATAGCAAAGAATGATACAGAAAATACTTTGTACATTTGGTGGTGGTTCCACCANGTTGACTTTGAACAAACACTTTTTTCACTTTGAACTTGTGCTTTTACTTTTTTCTTTCCTTTTTGGTTGGAAATAAAGACCCCTTTATAGACTTTAAAGACAAGAGTATTTTTTTATTGAGAGTTTCAAAGAATGAATGAATGAACATTACAAAGATGAGGAATGAGTGTGGGAAAAGATTGATACAGAAAATACTTTGTACATTTGGTGGTGGTTCCACCGTTTTCGTCAGTTTTTTCATTCACAATTTATATCACTGTGTGTTGTATTGTTTTGGACCCTGTTTTTGTCTGTAGTTAGAGATGCGTCTCCTCGTAGTGCCTCGGCGTCGCCTTGAACAGCCCCAGCGGACCGGTGCCCGCGGCGACGGTGAAACCGGCAATGGAGCTCCGCTTGAACTTGAGAAGGTCAGCAGAGTCGGCAGTAGAAGTCGACGATGGCCGCCAAGAGGAGTGGCTGGAGTTAGGGTAGTCTGCTNATTTTCGTCAGCTTTCATTCACTATTTATATCACTGTGTGTTGTATTGTTTTGGACCCTGTTTTTGTCTGTAGTTAGAGATGCGTCTCCTCGTAGTGCCTCGGCGTCGCCTTGAACAGCCCCAGCGGACCGGTGCCCGCGGCGACGGTGAAACCGGCAATGGAGCTCCGCTTGAACTTGAGAAGGTCAGCAGAGTCGGCAGTAGAAGTCGACGATGGCCGCCAAGAGGAGTGGCTGGAGTTAGGGTAGTCTGCTTCAGTGGTAATCGAACTGCTGATCACACCCACTCCTGTGGCTGCCGCTGCGGCGGCGGCTATTGTGGGCACATCGGTTTTGGTGTTGTTTGCAGTCTGCAGAGAGGAGGATCGCGTCAGCGTCTGCTTCCCATTGCCACAGTGCTGATTCAGTGTGTTGGTGGTGGTTTTTGAGGAGGTGGAGGAGGAGGAATCGTGAGAGGAGGAGTGAAAGTGGTGAAAGAGTGAGCGCAGTTTGCTGCCTGACTTGCTGCTGCTGTTGTTGCTGCTGCTGGGTCGACCACCTCCTCGTTCCATGACCTCATAAGAGGTGTTCCCTAGAACGGCCATCTCCTCCTCCTCTTCAAAGTGATCTTCATCACCATCTTCCTCTTCCTCTTCTTCATCCTCGTCCTCCTCCTCATCTTCATCGTAGTAGTCCTCCTCGATGTTGTCCTCCTCCAGGTCGTCATCGTCATCGTCCACCGTCTCGATTGTTATCTGAATCTGAGCTGCTGATGAGCCGGGATGAAGTAGTTGCTGCTGCTGTTGGTGCTGCTGTTGATCACGACTTGAGGTGGCCGAGTCGATGGTGGTCGTCGTCGTACCGTTCTCCGAGTACACAGTTGCCAGTTGGTCAAAGCGGACGCAGCTGTTACTGACCGGGACACCGGAGGCTCCCAAATTGCTGTTGTTGGCGGTGGCCGCCGCCGCATTGGCCGTCGTCGGCGACACAACTCCATCGGCGATCACGTTGTTTGAGGATGAGCCGCCATTTCGGTAGCCGGCCATTGAGCTCTGCAAAAGAAAAAAAGAATTAGAAATCGAACACAAAAATCACTATAAAAAAAATAACTCACCGAACTTACCGCCGACCGAGTCGCCTCAAAGCCGCCATTGTTGCAGCCTAATCCGCTGCCACCGCTGTTTGAGTACTTCCGCCGCACCTGGTGTTTGCCACCACCTCGACCTCGAGAATCCTTATTCTTCCGCTTACCACCCTTTCCACTGGTGGATCGTCGCAGAATGAAAGCTGTCAGCGGATCCAGCGTCGAGTGTTTGTGGTAGTACTGCACGGCGATGAAGGCCACTGCCACCAGGTAGATGACCAGAATGACGGCGACGTAGATGAGCGCATTCCTTGCCGACTCAGTATGCGACTGGATGATGTGCTCCTGCTGGTGATGGTGGGCGAGCGGCTCGTAGTTCGGATCACCGCCAGGAATTTCCGCCGCCGCAGCCGCCGCTGCGCTCAGCTGCTGAATCTGCTGCTGCAGCTCCTCCGAGGTCCACGGGATCGAGGATGAGGAGGATGCAAAAGGCCCAATCTCCAAGGAGGTATCACTGCCGGATAATGATGATGAGGAAGAAGAGGATGAAGAAGATGAAGAGGATGACAACGAAAATGATGGCGGCATGCTGGTGGCACTTGTGGCGGTTGTGGGAAGCTGTGGCTGATTGATCAGCTGGTAGAGGGAAGGCAGCGAAAAGGTTGAGGAGGTCGAGGCGCTGGAAAAGTTCTGCCTGCTCAAATCAGCTCGAGAGGAAGTTGTACGGCTGCTTTGTCCAGAGTAGGGCAGACTGGGGTACTGCTGATGTTGTTGCTGTGGCAGCAATTGTTGATTAGACTGAAGAAAACCTCCACCTCCTCCTGAAGACAGTTGTTGCTGTGCCTGAAGAGCACGCTTGAGGAATGCACTGCAGTTGCGACGCATCAGCTCAAAGAGGTACTGCGTGTCAATGGTGGGCGAGTTGTCAGCCATGGTCGTGTCTATTTGGTGGTGATTATTATGAGCTGCTAGTGAGAGAAGTCCTGCTGAGAGGCCGGAAACGATGGGAGCGACAACAGAAACAGTGGCGAAACCGGCGCTGGTTTGCTGTGAACCAAGTGTTTACCAAGTGAAAGTAATGGCGGTCAGCCTCATGCTGGGCGCGGTGACGGCGGCTTCTGATGGCACAGTTGTTGTATGATGATCTAGAGAGAAAAAACTGTGGGCGAGAAAAAGAACATTAGGGGATTAGATCTATTGGGCTTTATTTGCTGCTGAACGCAAACTGCCACGCAAAAGCAGCCAGCTTCAAAACATGCAAATAAAACTAACTTTTGCAGTGCACTAAAAATAGTCGCTGATGTCTGTTTTTAGCTACTAAACGACTAACAGAATTTGTTTTCTTATCTCACTTGCACTTGTTTCTCACAACTTGTGCCGGTGCAAAGCTAGTGCAAAAAAATCCAAATTTTAATCTGGTTAGAAGGATGTTTTTCAGGCACTGCACTGACACCAAAACAGAGCATAATAAAAACTTATAAAAGTTCAACTTGCTGCTTTTCCTTCTGTTTAAGTTTCCTTCCTTAGTGCATCTTAGCAATCATGCGCTCAGTCAATACGGAGCTTTGCCCACAGAAGACTACTACAGTGACAAATGACACCAAATTGCTAGGGCAGCTTCCTTTTGAAATGCTATTAATAGTAGCGGTAGTGGTTGTGCTCTCTTGCCCATTTACGACGATTAAGACCGATTTAAGGTGCTGCTGCTGTTGCTGACCAACGAATGAGTGGGTGAGCTTTACAAGGGGAAAGGAAAAGAACATTCAGAGGACATTCCTCCCTCCTTCCTTCAATACTGGCAACAAATGTCTGAGGCTGTGAGCAACAAATACTGCAAACGTTCTTCGGTGCAGTAATGGATCAGATAATCCTACACTTTCTTTTCTTTTGGGCACTCAGAAGCGCTAACGGCCAAGTGTACACACATAGTTTTCTTTTTCTGCCTCTTTTCTTGATCACATGATCCGGGCGACTATTTGATTACCGACTACTGACCACCATCACCATCACCACCACCACCATCACCTCACTTCCTGCTAACTTTAATGCAAAAGTAAATTAGGCAATTTTATATAGAGTAATGTAAAAGTAGTAGATAGAAAGTAAGTTGGTCACTCGATTTAATAATAAAAGGGGCAACTTGTGTGGGGCTTCACCATCAGCAACCGCAGCTGAAACTGCGTACGGGCAGAAAAAGATTGAAAAAAGCTCTAACGGAAGATGTTGTTGACAGTTGCCAAAACTGATGCTGCTTCAGCTGCTGATGTTTGCTAAACGAAAATAGCCAGAAGTTCAAATCTCAGAAGTTTGAAATTGGCAGTGGGCAAAAGGGAAAAAAGCAAAAAGCATGAGACGGCAAAGTGATTGAAATTAAAAATGCAATCACATGGTCAGTCACACGCTGATTGGTTTGCTAATAGAGCTGAGGAATGGGTCACTAACAGCACTGAAAGAGGAGATGAAATGAAGGGGCTGCAACAAAAAGACGGCGGAAGTTGACAAACAAGACTGAAAAGAACTTGCCTCTTTTGGGTAATCATCCAAAGAAAGTGGCCTATTCAGCTCTCTTTTTCAACTTGCTACAAGAAAACGATAACAAAATTAAACAAGTAGAATCCAGTTGGAGAAGGGAACCAGACAGACAGACAAACAATCAACAAGGAACGTTTAACAAAATGCTCTAAATCAGAAGCAAAAAAACAAAACAAGAGACACAACTGACAAACGGACATACCAATAAAGAGAAAGAAAGGCAAACAAACAGCACGGGATTTGATAATAAATCAATCAACTGTACACACCCTGGTACAAAACACTGAAACTGCTGTTCCCTGGTAAAGCCCCCAGCTGAACTGAAACTTTTTTTCTCTCTTGTTTTTATTTCATTTCCAATGTTGTTATTATAACAGTCTCTATCTTTTCCTCTACAACAGACACCAAACTAGCTGCAACCAGTTGCCAGACAAACACAGCGAGTGTGTCGATTAGTTTTTTCGTTGTCAATATGTCTGCAAATTTAGCCAAAATAAAAAGTAGAAAAAGCACACACTGGCTAAAGCAATCACTAATTGAATGTTAAAAATGAGAAACAATAAAAATAAAAATGTCAAAACATACAGGCAGCTGGCAGAAAATATTCGGTTTGCTTTTAATAGCAAATAGCAAAACAAGATGATCCGGAAGAATCCTGTTTCTAGTGGATTGAGTCTACACTTTTATACTTTTTTCAGATGTGCAGTATATTTCAGTAAAGTAATCCTTTTCTTCTAAATCGTAATTTGATTGACTCAGTGTTGAAACTTAGTTGCAAATCACAAGATCTTAAAACTGTGTGCACGCAGATAAATAAAATAAGCTGACATGCATATAAACTTACTAAGATCTAAGATTGAAACCACAAGGCCACAGGCAGATTAAGCTTTCCTTTTCTTCTTTTTTCTCTCGTCAGCTGATATAAACTAGTTAATTTAATACGACTGCTGATCAATATCAGCAGCAGAATAGGCGGCCAGTTTTGTGCTGCACTCAGCAACGTGATTCGGTCAGTAGGTTAAGATGAAGAAAAAGAAAGAAAAAAAAGAAAATCGGCATTATTACCGACGTATTAGTAAAGCTGTTTTGGCATTTACTTTATTTCACTTTTTGGGTGCATTCTATGCAAATCAGTCTTTACAACAACAAAAAGAGTAAAACGCAACCGAAAAAAATGGCAAAAGCAGTCCAACACTTGCTACAGCAAAACGTATTAATTATATGAGTGCACTGCAATGAAACTGTGAGCAAACGCTTAAACCAAAACTCTACTTTGCACCAGTTATGTTTCTTGGAAAAAAGTTAACACTGTAGATAACTATGAATTTTTTCTATTGCACCAGAAAAAGTAACAAAAAGATGAGAAAGATGTCTGCTCATTGTTTGCTAATAAAACTGCTAAATACAAAAGAGGAAAAAAGACATTGCGCCTTTGCTCAACTTTTTTCCCGTGCCTTTATTTCTTTTCTTTCTCAAGCATTTAATATAAAAATGATTTTGCAAAACAAGCAGGCAGAACAATAAAGGCGCCAAACAGTGAAAAGTTTACATAGCAAAGCAGACAAAACATCTGTTGTAACTGTTTTCTGCTTGCATTAAAGCAGCAAGGTCTTGCTCGCATAGATTTTCCAGACAAGAAAAACTTTTTCTCCGCTCAGCAAGCACATATACACACAGACACTTGAAACAAAATTGTTGCCATTCACCTTATTTTGTTACATTTGTTAATTTATTTAACCAAACCATCCTCTTAAACAAGTTGACACTGGTTAGCACTGCCAGTCAAGTAGATTACCACTTTGGAGCCGCCTTTTCAAAACTCTTGAAATGTACTGCAGAAAAGCCAACCACACATTTTCAAGTACCATTTTACGCAATCCTACTTCTTTGATAGATGGCTACTTATACTAAACATAATCGTCTTTTAGAGATGGGCTGCTGTATTTAACGCGCTAAAAATTGAAACTGCAAAAACCTAAGAAGGGCTGTCCATTCTTGCCAAAAGCAGAAAAAAATAATAAAGACGAAAAGTCTAATAAAGTGGCAAAAAATAGTCGCACATGCACACATGGACACGCAAACTAGAAGAAAAATAGACAAATATTTACAGAAGATGCAAAGACGGCCAAAAGAAGAGAAAAGGGATGCTAAAGTTGTAGGAGAAGAAGGATGGAAACATAAACAGAACACCACGCAGACAGAGAAAACTGGGTGTTCAATTGAGTGCCACTCTACAAAGTTGAAGGTGACATTGCTGCTGCTGTTGCTTGCAACCAACTTGTACCACTCTGCTGCTTCTGCCTACGACAAACACAAAATATAAATTCATTTATGTCTTCCTCACCACCACAGGCACTAGAGGCCAATTGCAGGCGCAAATATCTGGTTTGGCTGCTGATGCTGCTGCAGCTCAACTCTGACTGACTATATTTGGCCAAAAAGGAACTTACTATTGCCAAACACACACACACACACACTCACATACACAAACAAACTCATTTCTTACGGGATGAGGATCACCGAAAAGCAGTAACGATCTCCCCCGTCTTTTCTCTCTATCTTTCAATTTTTTTTATCTTTTTCTCACTTTTTTTCATCAGGGCGGAAGCTATAGTGAGGAGGCGGAGAAGTAGCAGNATCTTATTCTCACTTTTTTTCATCAGGGCGGAAGCTATAGTGAGGAGGCGGAGAAGTAGCAGAGATGAAAACAGATTCAGCAGAGTCACAAGATGGCCAAAGTTAGTTTGGCCGCTCGATTAGGTGAGCGGGAAAAAATAAAGAAAAAAGAAAAGAAATTGCCTTCAGTTGAGTCGTCAGAAAATATATATTTGATGAAGAGTGTGTTTTGTGATCGTGTGATGCACTTTAGACAAAAAAATTCTACGAGTAGATGAGCGGTGTAAGTGTCTTTAAGAAGAAAAGAAAATAAAAGAAGATACGGTGTTCTTGCCCTTCTGAAGTAGTTAGAAAATTAGACAAAAAAGACAAGATAGTCATGTGCACTACTGAATCTTGGTGCAATTTTGGTTTGTTCTACTTCTGTCACTTTCTATGGGCGCATTTTTGTGCAGCATTTTTTTGTGCAATAAATGCTAAAAGAAGTTGTTGAATTGTTTCGGTGCAAATAAACACAGTAGTGGCAGATGCAAACAGTGGTATTGAAATGCGACTGTGTATGACTGTTTTTGTGTACTGAAAAGGTTAAACTTGACTGCCTTGTTGACATTTTATTGCTTTTTGAAAACAAAAACAACAACAATTAAAATTTTTTGTTTAATTAGAAATCAGGAATCGATTTAAGTAAAAAACAAAACAAGCATAAATGAATAATTCAAATGAGTCAATAGTAAAGTTGATTAGGAAAAAGATGAATATTAAAATATTTACTCAAACCAACACCA